TATATATTAATATATATTTATATGTACATGTACATTATGTTCTAATTTTTCTAATTAAAAACGTCGATATCTATTTGATCTTTGGTTTGTTACTTCAGGCAACTGTCACTTAAGAAATTAGTTACATAAAAGATATTGCGACGTTTATTTCATTGCCAGTAGTACCGATAAATACGATCCTGACGCTTTCATAATCTATAACAAAGTTAATACTATCAATAAGGAAGAAAAATGTATATGCATTATTATTATACATATCATTGTTTTTTCCTAATAGATGTACAACTCAGAAATGTAATTTTCGAATTATTATTAATATTATGAATGAGTTTAGTAAACATTCTATCATTTATTAAGTGTGATCTAACTTGACTTCATTAAAAAAAAAATCACCAAAATCGTTACAATTCAAAAAAGATAGATTTATAAAGATTGTTAAAACATTAAAAAATATACAAAATATAATTTAATACAGAAAATTTGATTAGAAGTATACACTCCTTTTACCGATATGATTTGATTAATTATTAATTTTCTGTCAATTGAAAAATATTTTCTTCATGGAAAACTTAATTTGTTGAAATGTGTTTTGCAAGGAAAAAAATACATCTGTACATATAAAAAATTAATATAACAGAAAAGTTTCTATCTTTTTCTGAGCAATAATAATATTATTCGCTGATGAATCACAAAAATAAATTATAGATAATTATATTCAATTTTACATAAAAAAATTAAAAAATTTTTTTCCTTTTAATTATTATACATGTATCTTACATTTGTAAAGCACTCAAAGGAAAGAACTGTCATCTTGCCCGCCGTAAGCTTCAATTGTCTTTGAGATCGTAAAATTATAAATAATAGAACACGACTATCCTTAGCTTTCATATTATACCAGGTAGAATTGTACACTGCATTTCCGATTGCTTTGCTCTATAGAAAGAAGATAGAAATAAAAATCGAAATCATTTAGTATTTTTCTCTATAATAAATAATCAATACCACAAAACGTTAAATTATCTACAACTCTTTTAATATCAATCAAAATAATCTTCCGTTGCTGACCTTATTGTTCAAATATTCTCCAGCGAAGCAAAATATAAATGCTTCGAGATTCGTTATAGCATA